TCAGAATGTGACGGTATTTGGAGACGGGGTGTTTGGAGAGGTGACAAGGTAAAAGGAGTCATTAATCCAATCCAGTATGGCTGGTCCTCAGTATGGCCTCTTCTCCTTGTAAGAGCAGATGATCAGGACTCAGGCACACACAGGGGGCCGGCCACGTGAGGCCAGGGGCAGAGGCCCCAGCAGGCTCCCACCCTGTGAGGCCTGCACCTCTCCCTGCTAATTCCCAGGGTTGTGAAAACAGAAACGTGTGTGGTTGAAGCCGCCAGACTGTGGCTCTTTTGTCTGGCTGCCCGTCCTGACTAATACACACCCACCACATGCTTCTTGCTTCTGGCCACGGCCAGGGCTGGCAGTCCCTCCTGCACCCAGCCCCAGGTGACCCCTGGCCCTGCACTCTTCCCGGCTGCCTTCCTCACCCACTGGGAGCCCCCGGGGCTGTGGGGTCCTGGCCCCCCATGGCGGTGAGTTGTGGAAATTTTCAGGATAGTTTATTGTCATTGAAGAAAAAGAGAAGAAACAGTAAAGGACATTATTGCGCTCCAGAAGTTTCAAAAGAAGAAACAAGCTACCCAAGCTACGACTGCGGGTTTCCCTTGAGTGATGGGTGCGCATTCTCTCCTGGGGGCACGGGGGCTCCTGCACGGCCGTCTCTCCCATGTAGGGGCTCTGACCTGGCACTCACTCAATGACCAGGTGAGAACCAGGCCTAGGGGTCCACCTGTCTCAGGCCCCAATGCCTGGGGGCTCTCTCTGGTCATCTTGTCTCTGCCCCCTGCTCCCCAGAGCAAGCAGGCATTCCCCCTCAGCGTGACTCGGGTCCTGGGCACAGGATGGTGCAGGCTGGGCCTGCTGTCCTGGCCTCCCGGCACCCACCCACCCACCTTTGTCCACTGAGGCTGCATCCCATTCGCCTTGGGACCAGGTCACCAGGCCCCTCTGCAGGAGGCCAGTCTGACTGCCATCACTTCTTCCCCAGATGGTGCTGCCCTGTCCCCGGGGGGCTCCTGCAGTGACCACAGGCCTGGGCCCTTCTCTGCGTGGTCTCCTGCCATGGAAAGGTCTGACTGACCATTCGTGGCACGTCAGAAACTTCTCTGTGGGGTGACGGCAGCCTGCTGCTTCCTCAGGATCTTAGACAACGTGCCTGCTCTGAGCATGTCCTGCTTTCTGAAGCCTGGCCTGGATGGGGTTTGCACAGAGGCCGGGCCCTGCCCAGACAGACACTGGGATCACCAGCCCCCCACCTCCTCCAGGATGACCGTGCACGCCGACCCTGAGGCTGTCCTGGTGAGGACCATCCTGCCCTGATGCCTCAGTGTCCATGCAGTCCCAGCACTATCTTGGTGGCTGCTGAAGAGGGGTCAGCAGGTGTCCGTCAGCTCGGGTTGGGGGCACAGCCTGCTGTCACGTTGAGTCTCCAAACGGGGGTTCAGGGGGAAGATGCAGCCCACGGCGTCCACGAGCCGAGGGTGGAGGTGCAGGCCCAGGGTGGCTGTGAGGTCAGAGGGTGGCACGGGGGAGGGCAGAGAGCGGGCCTGGCAGCAGGCCGAGCGGCATGAACGGATGCACCCGGTTCCTGTGTGGGGTCGAGGGC